CCCTAAACGCCGCCCCAGCCGTTCCAACTGTACGCCCTGGTCATCCCCTGCAGATAGCCCCTCATTGCTTCTTAGATCCCTCAAAATCTGAGTGGTTAAGATAGAGACTAGAGATAGAGTGAAGCGAGATCCACAAGAGATTGTTTAAAAGATAACCAAGTGTAGCAACAGAATTATGTCATTTATTTTTCAGAACTTTGATCACAGAACCACCAAAAAAAGCATGAAATTAGATCCTGCAGACACACACGCCATGACGTCATCCTGCAGCCCAGGAGCTGGATGCAGTCAGTGTCAACTGTGAGGAATCATGTAAAATATTCATCCATGTGGCTCATGGCTTAATAATGTATTATCCCTCAATTTAGCACCAAGAGCTTTGCTGCGCTCCACTCCGACGGCCACCGAGCACTTGAGGTCCAATCACTCAAGAAAGATCCACTGCTTTGAAATATCCAACACCATCACAAATTCAGATTTAAGTGGCTGCAGCTTTCGAGAAGCAGCATACCCAATGCGTCCATCTCAAAATATTATAGAATCGGCATCCTAAAATTCTGAAGAGAGACCTCCTTGTACTTTGGGAACTTTAGCAGGACGCAGATTTGAAAAGAAAGAAGAGTTGTCAGGCTTTTTTCCCTGTTAAAAGTTTGAAGGGAATTCAAAAAACTGAAGGATTACCATTTTGTACAATTGTGACATAGTGTTCCAGTAATTCTGGAGTGGCTGGTTCTCAGGATGATCTCTTCATTCTGTTACAGCCAGGTGCTGACGTGACCCTGTCAGGCAGCAGACCGAGACTGATGGGATATTATATGTAGCTTTTGTATGGCTGCCGCTGCTGCATCTCCATATTTATAACTAGACTCCGTCTATCCCATAATCCCCATGTAGTGAGCTCCATGCCAAAGAGGGCACATATATAGCCTACATAAATGAACACACACTCTCTCCCTATAGCTCGCTCACTCTCTCCGTTTCTCTCTCTCAGTTGCTCAGGTGACATGTGTAATCTCTCCCTTGCCTTCTTGAACACACAAACACACACATACACACACTTATGCACACGTTTGTTCAGTGCACACAAGTGAGGGATTAAGTGTGAGCGATTGAGTTGCTGGGAGCCACAGGGTGGGCCACTTCAAAGCCAGTGTCAGACTCCAATCTGACTCGTGGACGAAAGGGCTTCATTTTGTTCTGTTACCACCCTAAACTTTCAATGTGTGTGTGTGTGTGTGTGTGTGTGTGTGTGTGTGTGTGTGTGTGTGTGTGTCAGTTGACGGCCACATCCAGACTCACCCGTGACCTTTGATGAAGGAAAAGAGGGATATGTCAGAAAAAGCGAAAAGCTTCAAAGAAAAAATGCTTTGCTCTGCTTTTTTGCTCTCGAGATGCTGTTTGTGCCACTGGGGGTTTTACTTCAGCCAACATATAGTAGTGTGTGACTGTGTTTCATCGCCGTCCTGTAATAGATGATTCCAGACTGTTGTCAGACTGTTGTTTCAGTAGGTGGTATGCTTATTAGACTGTTTCTTTTTAGGGGACCAGCAGCTACAAACACAAAGAGATATTCCAAACACCACCTGCCCATGATAGGAGCATAGTCTTGAGGTTGTGAGATTCAGCTGCAGAAGTTGATGAAAGATGAAGCATGTGTGTGAATCTTTAATTCATTTATTATTTCCCAGTGGAGAAACATTGCAAGTTGCACTGGTAACATCATATAAGAAACATACATACACACTATTATTAACTGTATGTGTGTGGTTTCTGTATGGTTTAAATATTATCAAAAAAATATTAAAAATAATTTCAGACCGTACACTATGACAGAAGTTGGGAGGATATTGACACATGCAGTTGTCAAATGTTACGTCATAATAACACAGACAGCAGGATCCTCCATCTGTCACTGACACATCATTGGCTCTTGTGTTACTCACTAAAATCAAGACTTTCACAAGTGAAAAATCTAAGTATAGAAGAAAATTATACTTAATATCTGATAATATATTAGCAGTAAAAATTCTCCTAATCCTCATACCTTAACACAGTCCACTCAGTATCTGACCTCTGCAGAGCTCTGATATTCACCGTCAGCTGTAATATAATATAAAGACAAGTTTGTCTTTCAATCTATTGAATTTACCACCAGTCAAGGTGTAGAAACACCTGAAAGTAGATCAAGTGAAATCTAAGACATCTGAGTGAAATCTTCAGTTTCATAAGAAATAGTCTGAATACTTATTTATTGATTTTTCGGTCTTTCCTTTTATATTAAATTCAATATCTCTAAAGTTCTTTTTTCACTCTTTCATCATGGGACATTGAGAGTAGAATGATAAAGAAAAATAATGCATTATCTTTTTATTTTAGAATAGAGCTACAAGACAAGTGAAAAAGGTGAATGAGGTTTGAAAACGAAATGCATTTCTCTTGCAGTGATTTCAAAACGTATCTTTCTTCTTGCCTATAACATATCTTTCTTCAATGACCACACCCCACTGACCCAAGCTGATGACCCACTACGCTTTGTGGTTTTAAATAATTTCCACCCATCCTCTTTCACTCCTCTTCACATTCCTTCTCCTGCATCATTTAAACCTCCACCTTTATCATTCACCTCTTTTTTTATTCTACAGCAACTGACTGAAAAGCTTTAGAACCGTGTGACATTAGTCTTGTCCCAATCAAAAACATCCAGATAGGAATGATTGCAACATGGAAACATATGTACCCCAACAGGCAAGTAGTTATCTATAATATGTATCAATAGGAAAATTAAACCTTGATACCTCACAGGAAACATTCTCTCGTGTATCAATGCCATTATACAGATTATATGTGTAACAAAGTGGAATATGCATTTCTAATATTTACTTAGAATTACACAAATCAATGTAAAAAAAAAATACTTATTACCTGACATGGCCCCCATATACAATATATGGAAACTGTGGTGTTTAATTTGTGTAGGGGCTCCACTTACATGTATGTACACAATTGACGGATTTGGGATTTTTAGAATTAATGGAGGCCGCCTCCAAAAACATTCATGCTCCTGTCCTTTCCATCAATTTACAACACAGACAACACTACACTAAACAAGGTTAGTCCCTCTAGGTCTGCTGGATGCATAATCATGTGTTCTCCAGGGGCTGGTTCTCCCAGGGCATATGGCCGCACAGACAGATGAATACAGTCACATTCTCTTTCACCTTACCTTTATGTCTTTATAATTAAACCCTCACAAAGGAAGATCAAGTCAATTCTTAAGAGTTCAGAATTCAAAGAGTTTAAGTCCAGGAATGTCTTTATTATAAGAAATGACTTGAGACACTTTTAAGTCTTTTTACAAGTTTAATCTAAATTGTGCAATTTAAAGAGTTTCTATACATTGTAGGTTTGTAGTGATATGGTGAATTTTTGTGCAGTGCATTATAATACTTAGTGTGAGCACATGTGGAAAACACATCATCATAATTATGGGTGTACAGTGTCCTTCTCAGAAGTCATGCATAACTTATATTTTTTTAAAGTATGTACAGGCAAACAGACAAAGAAATGATTGAAAGTATTTGACAACATGAAAACCAGTCCAAGGAAAGATGTGGCAGCCATTAAATTACCTTTAGACTGAATTGTACCTATAGACATCACCTATAAAATACTAGTCACAGTTCTCTTTAATTTGGAAACCACCAGGGACGTACTGGTTCACATTTCTCAAGATGTATTCTCCTCATTGGATTTAATATGATGAGGTGTGTTAATGGTCTTTCTTTTTAGTGATTTGATGTTGTTTTACAGTAATTATATTCACACACATTGCCTGGAAATGTCAAACCTAGTATAGACAGTACAATAAAAATGGATGGGTGAAGATTATCAGTAAAACAAACTTGTTCAGTTATCATTAACCAGGGGTCGAATTATAGTGAAAGAAGAAATGTTTCATAGTGAATAATAAATAAATATTTCAGACACAAATGGTCACGACATCATTAAGACACCACAATAACTAGAATGGCAATGACTTTATTGAGGCACTCTACTGAAAAACTGATATTGTGAAGTTTTGATTAATTTATCCTCGGCTTATGATACAGTTATTATTGGCTTATTCCTCTTCCTCCCTCTCTATATCAAAAGGTATGCCCCAGGGTTTGATACTAGGACCACTGCTTTTCTCAGTATATAATCTAATTTATCATTTTTAATTTCTCAAATACATGATATGTCATACATCATGAAAATTTAGTTCATGAACTAAAAATCAAATTAAGTCTCTCCTTTCAGGAGTAATCCTGTTTCTCCCTCCACACAAGAAAAAACTTGATTATTGCAATTTTTTACGGTGATATGTTCTTTAAAATAAATACACCTGAACAGTACCAAAGACGTTGAGTACTGTATAATATTGTATTTCATTTGTATGGCTGACTGTGAAAACCTCTTACACCACTGTTCAGCTGCCATAACTGTGGCCATAACTGTATTTCCACACACTTTTGCATTTGTTAGCTTTATGAAAAAATCTCTACTTGGGCGGATCAAATCAAGTTGGCCTGCCCTCACAACATTCTACAAATGTTGGTCCCCTGGGTCAGAATACTCCCAGAACTATTATCATCAGTCATTGTTTTTCCTACTAAATGTTCCCCTTTTACAAAGTTGTACCTGTGATGGCTGGATTTTTCTCATTGATGTAGGATTGCATTTGAACTGAATATTGTGTTTATTGTGTGTGACAGTTTTATTTGTCTCTTTTAATTGATTGTCAGTATTTTAACCAAGTCACTCTTTAAAAGGAGATTTTAGTGAGACTGATTAAATGAGAGATATGATAAAAATCATAAAAAAGTGTAAAATCAGAGAGGTGTGAGCACAGTGAGCAACAAAGGACGACTGTGAGGAGAAAAGCTGCCGGCAGTGGCTCAAAGGAAAAGAGAAAAACAGAGAAAGAGAGCAGATGTGAGAAATAATTTCAGGGGAAAAAACTGTAATGAGAGGAGAAGACTGGATAACAGCATTACATGCACATTGATGGGGCAAGAAAGGGGAGGGACGAGGAAATGCGGATAAGTCATGTGAGGAAACAGACATCTGACGGCTAGAATTGATGGCGGGAGAGATGCAGTCGGGGGGGTGAGACAAAACGCCAGAAATGGGGAAAGAAGACAGCCCATATTGTTTGATGTGAAAGAACTGCGGGAGAGATAATTCCCTTACTAATTCAAGTGTGTTAGACAGAAGTAGACAAAAAGAGAGAGAAAGAGACAGAGAAAGACAAGTGTCTCAATTGAAGAAGCTGATGAGCGGCTGGAGGAAGAGTCCCAGAGTTCCCAGCACACACACTGTGACAAAAACCCATAGGAAGATCCTGTCGATGACCATGGCAACATACTTCCAGTCGTCCTCCACCTGGGGACAGGAAAAGAAGAGAATTTAGATAGTGAAAACCAAATATCTAGGACACATATATTAATAACACTGATCTCTCTACTTTTGGTAACTGTGAAATATCTGTTAATGGCACAACTGAGTCGTGTGCATTTGTGTTGAAAAAGATCTGAAACCTCCATGCATCTGGCTATTGTTAGACTCTGCACAGCATGTGTGTGCGTATAAACACAGTCAGGTGTGGACAATGGGATCATGGTTACACTGACTATAATGCCATTGTGCCCCTATAGAGGAGGCTATTCTACATGCCTAAAAAAAAAGATCCCAGCTTTGCTTAGAAAAGATGGAGCTGAGGAAACAAACATATCAGGACCATCCAGAGCACACAGGAGGCACAGACAAAGCCCCACGTCTGCAACAAACAAGCAGCTTTACACTCCCTTTATAGCTTCGTCTAAACGGTTTCTGAGCTAGGTAGAAATTCACTGAGATAACACACACAGGACAGTTTTGTTGATGTTGTGCGTATGCATGTGTGTATTGTGCAGACACAATCTATTCATACTATTCTAAAGGGAAAAGGTCCAACAAGGTTAACAATTTCATTATAGGGTTATGACTTGACTTAGGTTCATGGTTAAAATTGGGACCAAGATAATGCTGTATATGTGATGGTTCTCTGGTTTTTCCCTGGCCACGAGCTTTCAAGTCTTGTGCTTGTATCTCCCTTTAGGAGCCTGTATGCAAAGTACGCTATATGATAATAATACTCAATGCAGTAGAGGCAGAGATATTACCTGTTTTATTCTTCACATTCTTCTTCCTTGTCAAAGACCTGGTGCCTGCTTTACACAAAATGCAAATCCACTGCCAACAACTTGGTCGTCCCAGGTGTGATATGATATTTGTAGCCTCGAGTCAAAGAGTGAGCTACAGAGGTCTGCTAAGCTCACGTCTTTTTAACTGCACAGCCCTTGGTTTTTTTATTTTCATTCCCGTATTCTTTCGAGCTGACTCAGGTGATGTCACTTCAAGCAACCCATTAGATTTGTCACTGCCATTCATACAGCTTCTTCACATAAGCAGTAGTAATCCTCCTCCTACTAAACAGACCGATATGTAAAATCAGAAGGTTCCCTGTAAAGGTTAACTATTATGATTTTGATAATTTTATCCATCATAGTTATAAAAGTTGAAAACTAGAACTAGAATGGCACCCAGAAGAGCACATACCTCCACCAAGGTCCAGCAGTTCCCTTGAATTCAATCAAGCTGCACCCAATTTTACACACTCATCAGTACACTAAACATGCCTGATTTCTGATCCTTGAATGGAAAATGCTCTCATCTCTCAGTGTTAAAGAATATGATAAAAAATACCTGGATCCGCACCCTGATCCAGATCCTTCAAAATTAAATGGGTTCTACCCTAACCCATAATGCATCATAACACCAAGTTCCATTGTAATATGTCCGGTAGTTATTTGCTTAATATTGCTTGCAAACCAACCAACAAACAGACAGGGATAAAACCTTGACCTCCTTGTCTGAGGTAATAATGTGTATCGCAGGAATAATAATTACCATAAAAGGACGAGGTTCTCTATCATACCACAGATGGGATCATACTTTTAGTATTGCCAAAGCTTCCGCTAATAGATATGTGGGGTATCAACTTTTATCATTCCAAAATAAAAGGAAAACAATAATTTAGCAGAAAAGACAGACAATAAAGCGTAATGCTTGCTGACGCACCTCTTTGGCTTTGTTGCGAGTTCTCATGTTCTCTGCGATGTACTTCACACTCTCGATGGCCTGCTTGATCTCTGGTGACACCACGGAGAAGGCAACCACAGCATTGACAGGCGATGAGACATTCAGGGGCCTGGGCAGCTTGGGCAGCTCTGACTCCTGGGGCCCTTGGGTTTGGGGTGGCTGGGGAGGAGGAGGAGGAGGGGGCATTGGGGGAGGGACAGGTGTCGGTACCTCCTTGCCTCTGTATGGGCATCTCCTGCTGATATCCCGGTTCATGTCGCGGTGCTCCACGCAGTTCATGGAGCCACCTGCTGAGGAGGTCCCTCCTCCACCCGTGCCACCATCCAGAGGTGGACAGGCGACACCCCCAGTTATACCTCCAACAATTATACTTCCTGAGCTACTTCCTATGCTGTTCTTTCTTTTCTTTTTTCCTCCAGTGCTCCCTCCTCGTCCTCCTCCTCCTCCTGTCCCTGCTGTAACACTAGCAGGGGAGGAGCAGCCCTGGTCGATAGGCCGCCTCATCAGCATCACCCTGGGCAACACCCCAAGGAACACAGACCTCACCCACTCTGGCATCGTGTGAGTCATGGGGGTGCGGTAGTGGACGTTCAGCACAAAGACGGTGATGACGATGCTGAGTGTGACGAAAATCATGGTGAAGAGGAGGTACTCGCCGATCAGTGGGATGACGAGTGATGTCGAAGGGATGGTCTCGGTGATGACCAGCAGGAACACAGTGAGGGAGAGGAGGACGGAGATGCAGAGGGTGACCTTCTCGCCACAGTCAGACGGGAGGTAGAAGACCAGCACTGTGAGGAAGGAGATGAGGAGGCAGGGGATGATGAGGTTGATGGTGTAGAAGAGCGGCAGGCGGCGGATGTAGAAGGAGTAGGTGATGTCTGGGTAGATCTCCTCACAGCAGTTATACTTGATGTCATGCTTGTATCCTGGTGCGTCGATGATCTCCCACTCTCCGCTTTCCCAGAAATCTTTCAGATTCACCTGAAGAGAAATGGGAAAAGCTATTTTTAAGTCTCAGAGTTGCTGCTTATGAAACCACTCGTAAGTTTTGTTTGTAAATTGTGATTTTTTAGTCGAGGATCACATTAAAAAATGCATTTACGGCTTGAGAGGGAAATATTGCTAATATTTTTGAATTTTCAAAGCTACTAATGGTCAGGATTTCTCCCCAGGGATCAGACGGACCCACTGACCTTTGAGCCAATGAGCACCAGGTCGATCTTGGCCTTGTCGTAGGTCCAGGAGCCGAACTTCATTGAGCAGTTCTGGTAGTCAAAGGGAAAGTAGGTGATGTCCATGGGGCACGAGGATTTAAAAATAGCTGGAGGAATCCAAGTGATGGTGCCATCAAACTTCAGCAGAGCCTTGGTTTTGTCTTCCACGAGGAAATCACCCACAGCACTGTAAGAGATTTCAAAGGTCGTTTTACTTAAAGGCCGTTACAACATTTAGCTGAAAATGTCAGAAGATACTGAGCAAAATCTAAATATCATTAGCATGTAGAAAGAAGAATTAAGGAAGCATTACTTGTGAAAAAGATACTGTAGCTGAGAACATCAAGGTATTGCAGCCACATCTATCTGATTAGTATCTGTAATATAAACAATCTTATAGAGATATGAACAACTTATTTATATAAAGTACTTCTGATGGGTGATGTCTATTTTAAGTGTCACACATTGGAATTAATTTATATTTTTTCAGATAATGAATTTGAGGAACAGAAAACAGATATATTGCTGAAAAACACTATAAAACTGTTTAATCTTTCAGCATCTTTGTTTTTTACTTCTCATCAGTGAATAGAAACTCACTTGTTGTACAAAACAATATCAGGCCTCCAAATTTTATTGGAAGGAACTCGTATGAACTCAATTCCATCGTATTCAACAGGGGCCCATTTCAGTTTGTAGTCATTCCACACCTGAAAGAAAAACCAGGGTAAGTTTCCACATACAAATAATGTGGCAGACACCACATACATGTAAAATGAACCTGAACTCACATGTCTCAGCCACAGATTGGTTTCCATTATCTGATTCACCTCATCCTGTAATGACACAAAGGACGAATTAGTCATCAGAGTGAAATGTAGATGAATGAATGATCCATATCTGTGTTATTTCTTTGTTTATAGACAACAGACTCTCACCACTTTGACCAGCTGAGAAATGGACACCTCAAACTCCACTGTGACTGGATCAGATACATTCTCCACCGGCCGGATGAACTGGTTGTACCTTCGGAACAACCTCCGAAACAATCTGTCCTCTCCTTTAGATGAAATGCAGCCTGATGAAAAAGAGAGGAGGTGGAAATGGAGAAAGAGGAAAATGAGCAAATATAATGAAATAAAGGCTCAGAGAGAAATAAAACAATGTCACTTTACATTTCCCGTGTTAAATTGTGGGCATTAAGAAATCCAGCATTAAGGGTCACTTGAGTTAAAATGTGGCACTTGTTCATTAGATATTTTGTTCTATGTATGTTTGATATTGTTGCTGCAAAAGAAACACACACACACAGGTTTGTGCAGCTATCTTTATTGGGACAGCCAAACCAGAACCTTAACCTAACCACAGTTCACACCTTAACCCTAACCTTAACCAAGTTCTCAGAAATTATGTTTTGTCCCTTTAGAATCAGGCTTTGGTCCCCATGAGGTGTACTGGTCACGACAAGGTCAGTGTTGATATTGGAAAAGGTCCAAGAGAGGCAACAAAAATGAGTACACACACACACACACACACACACACACACACACACACACACACAAAAATGGCTTCACCAGAATAAAAGAAATAACATTTAGATGTGCAGATAGTTTTGTTTTGAGAGAAATTAGTTTGATTTAGGTGAAATAACCCTTTAACTTTTAAATCGATGTTGTTTCTCTATGATGGCTGCGAGAGATCAGAGTGTTCTGAGAGGGTATAAAGCTGCATGTTTACAAAATGAAGGCAACACCTGAAAGCTTTTATCATATCTCCAAAGACAAAGTGCTTAAAGTCAAAGATGAAGTATCCCAGAGTGTGTGTCTGCATGAGTGTGTTCGCCCTTTGTGAGGCTTGATTGAAGTTTATATCGTGGAAAACTGCAACTGGTAACACTGAGGCCTGGCATGGCACATAGACCCACGCCTGTCCAAGCAGAAAATGTAGCCTCACTTGGGACGGCACACAGTCACACCATCAGCAAAACCTCAGAAATACTGTGCCAGTGGCTTCAATGGTGGCTCCAGTTCCTCTGTAACACTTTTTCTTCTGGTCAACTAAACACCGGCCAACAGAGTTAGACAGAGTAGATATTTATTATATATTAGATACACTGACAGTCAGTCCTCCTGAATGCCCTTGAATCGTGAACTTGTTCAAGCACAGCAAACAACCACAAAAAAAAAAAAATCCTCCTTCTCCGTACTGTAGCTTTCAAGTCAAGAAGTGACGCACACTTTACTCAACGCGGTCCCGAACAATCAGACTTGCACTTAGTGAGCCGCGTGAACCATTTCAGAGCTGGAGGAGAATTTGAGTTACCAAAGGGGCAAATGGTGAATAACCCATATCCACACAAATAGCCACGTACACTGAAAAGGTTTGTTTCCTTGACAACAACTGAATAAAACATGGTCCTTCAATGGCAAACTTTCCTTCTGCGCGAGCGTCAGTTTAACTCACTACAAACCAGAAGCATGAAAAACTGATGTTTCCTGTCTTCATCCTCTTCATCCTCACGCTATCATCTCTGAATAAGTCATGTCTGATAACTGATGGAGGAACAACTGGAATGTAGGTTACATATCTTTTATCGCAAACATTAGTGGTTAAGCAACTAATCAAAATATGAACTGAAAATCCATCCATCCATAATCCATTCCACTGGAAGCTGAAACCAATCCCAGCTGACAGCTGGAGGCAGGGTACAGGTTGCCAACATACTGTATAACATATACAGTAAAATGACCAGTCACATTCTGACATTTAGAGTCTCTAATTTACCTTTAACTTAACTTTAGGAGGGAGTCGGACTCGGAGTACACGAGGAGACCATGCAAACTCCACACAGACTGGGATTCAAACTGGGAACATTCGTCTTCTGAGGTAACATTGCTAACCAATCCAGCCATACTGAGCTAATCTGGAGCGCAAGAATGCAGCCAAGTGGGAAGTAATTGTTTTCTATAGATGTATAGACTTTGAAAATGAGAATATATGTGGCCATTCAGTTGGGACCGTCTCTACTGAAAGTGTACATGTATTATTTTTCATTATCTTTGCTCCTACGGTCATACTGCAGATCCTCTTTTTATTGCTGTTGGGAGTACACTCCCAACAGGTGGATATCATTACATGGTACTACATTCTGTCCAATTTATCATATTGGGAGACGTACCAAGGCTGAGAAAATAATAACTGTGAACAATCTAAATCATGAGCATGTAAATGAATGTTATAGCCGAACAATAATTTTACATTTAACACTTCAACACACATTTCAAAACGATTTTAATCTCAGGAGTTGGGGGTAAACAAATTTTACTGAGCTAAAAATTCTCTTTTGAGCACTTATATAATCACAACATCTGGTGCAACAACAAACACACTCCAATATTTCATTGTGTGTAAAGGTCATAGTGAAAACAGGATGCTGCAGCAACATTTACAAGCATGCAAGGACTTAATTTATCCTCATTCATTACACTTACTCCCCTAAACTCAGAGTTAGTCTCACTTAATATCAGGTTAGGATTTAGCACACAATGCACATTGCAGACCAGCGGAAGCAGAAGCCATTTAAGTCCAATGAGACCAGGCTGCACTGATTTTCTTTTTCCTATAATGTTTTACTGAATCACAAATTGTGCATGGATGCTGGACCTATAATTAGCCACTCTGTGTATATTGCAACCCATTTATTGGTCTTGATTTAGAAACAAAAAGGGGATTTGATTTTATTCCAGTGAAAGTAATAGTCTCACCTTGACAAGACAAAACTAGAAACAACTTTCAATGATGAAAAATAAAACCCATCACATCTAGCTCCAGTTCTCTATAAGGGTAAAAATGACATTATACTGTTGTGGTTTCTAAACTCTTCTGAAGTTTTCTGAGGTCATTGGCAGAGGCGAGCTGAGTCTTACAGCTTAATGAAAAGGCCTCTCTTGAGAGACACTTGTGTAATTTCAGCTCTTGGTACCTGCTGTAAAACTGCTCGCTGCTCCCTGAGTCGCTGCACCGCCAGAACCTTGTTTAAGTCGCTAATTGGGTGAGGGGAAACCAGGGCAATTAAACCAAGTCAATTAATTGGACCTTTTGTTCAATGTAACAAAAAAAAACAACGTTTTTTTTCTTCCTCTGTTGGCACAGACACTCCCTTAATTCCCTCCTTTATTCTGCCATTGAAGATCTTAACTTGCATTAATTTAATGGAAGTTAATTATGACCTTTGTACTTTCACCTCAGTTGATGCTGCACGTGAATTTTCTGTATGCCTCTCTCCCTGGTATTTAATGTAAGAATTTCTTTCTTTGGGTCACAGAGTGCATTTAAAAGTGAGCATGTGGAAGTAACAGGCAGCGATAAAACATTTATGATTAAGAATGATTTATAAATCTTCCATTAAGAATATACATACAGCAGATACAGACTCCTGAGTTAAAATCCAAACCACATGTAATTTCACATGATCCAGCTGTCGAGTGCATATTTCTATAGCACTTATCTAAACAAGGTTATAAAGGATTGGGAATTGGAATAAAACAACACAGGTAAAACAAAATAAGAAATATAACATACAATATAAAAATTTATAATAAACAACATCCAATGATATTACTTAAAAATCAGGCATTAAACAGACTTTTCCATACAAATATGTTTTAAGCAATGATTTTAAAACAGGTAAAGTGCAAGTTTAATCTACTCAGGCAAGGAAGATAAGAGCCTCGGAGCCCAGATGGCAAAAGCACCATCACCCTTAGTTACCAGCGTTAGTTACCAGCTTTAGTTACCAGCCTTGACTAATGAACTGCTTAGACTAGAGCACACCAAGTGAGTAGCTCTGTAATATAACCAGGTGCCAATTCATCCAAAAAGTGATATATTTAAGTAAGAATTAACACCTCCACTTCCATACCTGGGGGAGTCACAGATCAAATCTACAGATATCATCAACAAAAGGTGTCTTGTCTTTTAACAGCTTCTGTAGCTCAAACTTTATAAAGTGTTTAACCATTGAAGACAAAGCTGTCTTTGCAGTGTGTCTTTGAGAACAAAAACTCATGTGAATTCAGCTTGACAGTTGTGTTGCATCAAAGCAGAGGTGTGCTCTTTCATGATGCACTAACAAAGTGACAGGCCTCTGTTCTGACGGGGGCGAAGCCAAGCCAAGCAGTCATGTGTTTCACCCTCAAATAGCCACATTGATTTAGCATTAGCAAGCCAAACAGCGGGTCTATCTCTTGGTGGCTACAGGAGCCTAAAGCTGCAGAAAGACCCACGGCCTGTGAGAAGCTCTTTGATCACGCATGTGCTTAACAGGATGAGCCTGGGAGCGAGTGGTGGACACTCTGAAGGAACTAATTACCCTCCAATAATACACTGCTGACAGTGAGTGTGAGTGCATGCAGAAGAGATACGAAGAGAGAGTGGAGAGAAAAGATAGGAGGAGAGAAGTGGAGAACAAGCTGAGAAGAGCTTGATAGTGTGGCTTTGCTCTCCAGGGTTTTTGATGGCCTGACCATGACATGCTGAGTGACGCACGAGAGGATCCGCGGTGATTACTGCACGTGCTGCGACTCTCCCATGAAGCATACGGTGCATGTATTAACAATGTTTTCATGTACGAGGGTTTGCCTACATCTAGACCGTACGCCTGTGTGAACACACACGTTCCTATTTATCTATGTATGTCCATTGACCTCTGATTTGACTCGCTCTGAACAGCATATGATTTTTTTCACTGATGCATGAAATTCAATAGTTCTTTGCCTCCATGCTTTCATCCGAAAACATGTAATATAGTTTAGAGGTCAGATACTTAGCAAAGGTTATGATATTGATATTGACATAGGTTGAGATATTGTTATTAAATTCCCATTTTTATACAAAATAGATGAACTAATGATGCAACTTTATGTTCAAGTTGCCCAATGAAGGAAAGCCTTTAACAGACTTCACATCACCACAATAATGTCATATTTCATCTGTGCCAATACTGACTCACCTACTGACTCTAGTATCATTAAGATGAGAAAAATCCATCCCAACTCAATCCAGTTTCTTTGTCAATGC